TCATTGGATCAACCTCATAGATCTTTGCGGCGCGTCGGAGAGTTAATTTTCGGTCATTTTTAAGGGCACGAAGTGCGAGAATAACATTAGCTTCACTATTGAATTCAGGCATATTGGGTGGTGAAGAAACAGTTGACGACGTAGACATGTTGTAGGTTGAGGGATTTTTGTAACACTCACGTGTTTGTAACACTCGCTTATCATGGACGTTACCTCCTACGTCATGTGGGCTCAACAAATCATGATTATCCACTCCCGGTCTCTCCTTTCCAAGCGCCGTCGGCAAATTATTCTTTTCGTGAAGGACACGTCACGATTTCAATCTGCTTTAATTCTCAACATTGTTCATTGGATGGTGTCCGTGGAACTACCGCCGGAGAAACCGAGAGGGTCCGGCTTTAGGGGGGACTGTAGCCAATCGCTGATTATTCGCACAGCTCGACCAAATTGCACTCCACTCCTGAGGACCTTTGTCGAGAATGTGTGTGCCAGCTTGCAACTAGTTGCAATATCAGTGCAAAAGCTTGTTCTAGAGCATCAGCTATAAGATGACCTAATCGCACCTTGCACTTCTCCCTCTCCATTCTTGCCTGAACTCCTCTAATCCGCCCTCCTTTCACAATCATGGGTTTAGTTCAGTTCGAGGATGGAAAGGTCCTCTATTACCCATATACACCTTCGACTGCAGCTAGCTATGGCTTCATGGCATGCTTTGCCATTGTCACATGCGTACACATCGTCCGTGTTGTGCAGACCAAAAGGCGCTTTTTTATCCCCATGATCCTTGGTAGTATATGTGCGCCTTGCCGCTCTATCGTCAATATCGCAACTCTGGCTGACAGTCCCTTTAGGCGAGACATTTGGATATTATGGTCGCGCTTGGGCCGGTCAACTACCCAACTCGCCCAGGCCATTCATGTTGCAACTCATGCTCATTCTTGTCGCACCGGTGTTTATCTGTGCTACCATATACGTCACGTTAGGGCGACTAAAACACTGTATCCTCGGCCGACCTAATCGAAAATGCAGCATAACAGTACTATTTATTCTTACCGATATCGTGGCTTTCTGCTCTCAGATCGGCGGTGGTCTCGTCCAGGTCACCGGCAATCTCGACCTCATGAAGATTGGAGACCATGTGATTTTAGGCGGCCTTGTCTTTCAATTGATAGTTTTGACTATTTATCTAGGCCTGGTCTATAAGTTCTGGAGGGAAGCTAAAGGACAGCATGATATAAATGGTCCTCGGTGGGAGCCTTTCACAGCAGCGTTGGCTGGAACGGTTGTAGCAGTCTGGATTCGAAATCTGGTTCGTGCAATCGAATTCATGCAAGGGTTCCATGGTTTCATCAGCGAAAATGAGGCCATGATATATATCTTTGACGCCTTTCTGATGTTACTGGTTATGGTAGCCTTTATTCCATTCTACAATAGTAGTGGTATAGTGCCACAGCACGTCAAGGGAGGATGGGATGCTATCGAGTTAGGTTCTTGATGGTGCAATACCAATATGAATACGATTTTCCAAAGGACCTTCTGAGATACTTTAAAGCGAAGACCTAAGTCTCAAAATTGCTCATATTACTCCTAATGCTTCCTTTGGCCATTGAAGAAAGTTAGAATAGTCGCGTGGTATAGACTTATCCCTACAGCCCATATTGCAGTACGGAGTGGCAGTACCTTGGTGCCGCATCTAATCGTTGTGGGCTGTCCCAGTCCTCGCGTTACAACAAAATCTGATTGATCGATAATTAAAGCTTATGATATCTCAACGAGATATATCAAGCACAACAAAATCTGAGGCATGTTTATTGGATCTAGCGCTGCGATAATCTACGATCCTTGAAATTAATGCAGTGAGATTTTAGTCAGCTACAAAAAGAGGCTTTGCTTCAAATGATGATCCTCTATTGAGGCGGAGTCAAGCGTAGGCAGACAAGCGGCATGACTCAGCTGACTGTAAACACTTTTGACAAGCAGGATATCACAACATAAACGAATAAATATTCCTTGCCTCCATCCAACGTAATGTCTTTAAAGCATCATCATTTCATTATTGCAACTCTCAAATCTAGAGACCCAACCAAAAAAAGCCTTCACCATGACAACCAAAAAGAGATTCACCGGCTCTCGCATCAACGTCGAATCTATCGAAACCCCCTCCAGCGCAGAATGGCGCATCCGCTTATCAGGCCCAAATATGAGAAACCTCATGAAAGGCCATCGTCCTCAGGATATGGACGATAAATGGATGTGTATGACGACTGGGCCTGCGGAGCAGGGATTGATTCGGGTACGCATGTGCAGAAGTTGGTCAAATCAAGAAATCATCGCTCTCATAGGACGCGTCGGAAGTGATGACGAAGCAATTATCGCTGAGGAAGGCGGAGAGATTCTGGCGATTATGTGGCCTACGCCCAAAGAAGACGAGTATGATCCTTTTGATGAGGAGAGTGCGAAGAAGTTTGCCATTGGGTTCTGTCGACACTTTATGAATTGTGAGCTTGAAGGTTGATGGGTATATGAGGGCGAACAATGGTTTCTGCCAATTTTCAGGTTTTGACATGGTGTTCTCGCGTTGGATTTCTTTGGTCGGTATGTAAAATAGCTCATGAAGAAACGCCGATATTCCAATTTACCAAGATCGTTGTGTTTTCCCCACGGCCATCTAATGTCTCGATGAAACAGCGCGTCGCTGCATCAGCTTGGCTGACTGCATGTTCTACACTCTCATTCAAGATCATCGTGTAGGGTCTCCTCTCGGTGGCGAAGGCATCCTTGCGGACGCAGCTCTGACCTCTAGCCTCTCCGTCGCTCGGCGATGAGTTTCTGCGACCGGGCGGGCTGTTACGGTATACGCTTGTTGATGGGGCTGCTGAAATTGAAACGGTTGGCGATTATTGACAAGCGGTGTCGAGTCCGCAGAACGGTTTGGGAAGAGGTCATCAATGGCTTCCATGAGATCCTCATAGAGGCCTTTGACAAAAGGCACGATCCCGCACATTTTTTTGTAGGTCAAGGGTTTTTTAGGAGTAAAGTGCTGTGAATGTTGACTTTTTGGTGACAAGATTACGGTGAAAATAATCTGTGCAGAGATCACGTGCACACGTGTAACAATGAGCAGGCTTCGACTCAGTATAACCTCGACAACGACTCATGGACTGGATACATTATGAATGGGATCTCCAGTTTGATGACCTTGAGATTGCTTTTATATGCGACATAAGAATAGGCTAGGCGCTCTACATTTTGGGTTTCCTGCCCGACTTCTCGAAATAGCCCGCCTCGCCAGTACTTCCCTCTCTGCTATCCTGCTCTTGAGCATTCTGACTGTTGGTATTCTTCTCTTTCTGTGTCATGTTCTGGTTTTCGAACGAGCTCGCATCGCGTTTTCCCGGTGCGCCCTTCAGCGAAGCCATGGCTCCGTCTGAGTGATCGGCGACTGGTGGATTGTTCTTGTCGTGGTTGGGATCGGAGGACACTGGTGTCTTGACCTTGCCCGAGTTCATGCGGATAGAGGTGTATGGGTTCAGCACAGGCCGGGATCGAAGCGCGGATGTGACGGTCGGGATGCGTCTGAAAGAGGAGAGGGTTTGGCGTGTGATGGTCATGGTTTCGAAGAACTGAGACGAGTAGAGGATGTATTTGAGAAGAATCTGGAATTTTTGTGAAATTTGGGATGTCTGATGTGGAAATTAATGTTGAATGGTCGAAGAAGAAGAATCGTGGCTGTTTCATAGGTTGTTACTGTAGCGAAAGTAATGACGACATTTCTGAAGCCGATATATCGTCAATCATGGCAATGGTTGATGTCATTGATACATCAATTGTCGAGGTTCCACAAATACCAAACCAAACGCCGGGCCCTATGTTTACTGCAGATTTTCGACTTGTCCTATGTTACTCCTCTCAAATACCAATGGAACTTCACCTCTCAACGCTCTCCAATGATTAGTCGCCCTCATCAGCTCAGGACATCCTTCGACAGCCCATCCCCATCTTTCCAGAAACCGAGGCGTCACCTCCCAGCTCTCCATACGATACGGTTCTCCCCAGATAATCAAGCCACGTCGGTCTGAAGCATAGTCGCCAGGTTTCCCTCTTGACACAAGTCGCCGTCCTCTTGGCCCAGTGCCCTCTCCATATTTGTTGAACATGATGTCTTCCAGGAGATCTCCCATTATGTCAGTGACAAGTAACCGGTGGTTGAAATGATCATGGTGAGTGATGAGATTGTCTCTCATCTTCGGGAACGGAATGAAATCGATCCAGGTTGCATGTGCCCTTGTTGATTGCAGCGCTGTAGGACGAAGATGAGGCGGTACATTTAGGCCCGTCTCGACACAAATAGCATCGCGCTTCAGGCCAACCATTACATCCAATTTCTCGATTCGACCCTCTTCCAGTGCAAGATGATCCGTCACCTGTGAGAGGGTCACTTTGTTCTGAAAAAGCCCTCGGAAGGCATTGTAGTTTATGAGATACAGAAGATGGTCGGAGAGAGGAGAGGCCCCGTCCGTCAATGCCTGTAGACGTTGATGCATGTCGAGCTGCTGGCTGTATAATTCAACATCTGTGCTGCTCAATGTGCCCTTGTATATCGTTGTAAAAAACAATCTCGGGTCTTGCTTAGTGATGGAGCATCCATCGTTGACGGCTCCGGCCTCCAGGCCGAATTCATCCACCCTCCAGAGCTTGACTCCGAATGTCGGCTTTTGCTGCTTGGCACGGGTTTTGGATGTGTCATCACTGTTCATGCGATTTCCTACATACAAAGGTCGGAAATAGTTAGGCCAGCTTCCAAGATAGGAAGTATTGTAATCGTGACTGTCCATCAACTACTTACGGCGAGCTCGTTGGTTGATCCTGTTCTGCAGCTTACGCCGCTGCTTTCTCTCAGCATCTTCCATAATCGATGGAATTCACGATGGTCTTTGCTAAACTCCAGTTGCAGTGATGAGTCAAAAGGCCTGGGCTATAGCGAAAGTAGTGAAAATGTAAGCGTTGATCAAAAACATGGTCGAATTGGGGTTTGTGACGGATAAAGTCTCCATGTGAGCTGACGTGCCGAAGTGTGTCACGCTAATACGAATCGAGATAAAAAGTCATCCTCGGATGGTGTCTGCTAAATCCGATCGCGAATATTCTTTGAATCCTTGCTATACGTTTCCTTGCGCGGCGATGATGCGCCATTGACAACCATTTATGACTCCGTACAAGCAACCCGTAGTATGTATGGCGTACCTAGAATCCTTCGGTAACTCTCTTTTGGGTAAAAATGTCATCAGGACTTGAAAAGCGACTTAGCACGATGGTTTAGGTAATAGATTTTGGGCTGCGTACTAGGTCGCGACAAATCTACTATAAATTCAGGAGAAGCTGCAGTATCAGACCAAAGTCTCGTCAATTCAATCCAACATCAAATTTCACTCCAAGAAACCTGCTCCTCGAATTTAGTTTTCACAGCTACAAGATGTCTCGTTACGCCTCTCTCTACACCAACCCCCAAGGCCCAGGTGACAGCCGGCCAACTGCTCTGCAGGTGGTGCAGGATGAGCAAATGCAGAACCAACTCGTTGGGAAGACAGCAGTCATCACTGGCGTGTCATCCGGTATCGGCATAGAAACCGCTCGGGCTCTTGCTGCTACGGGCATCAAGCTCTTCCTCACTGCCCGAAACCTTAATAAGGCCAAGGAAGCTCTCGCTGATTTCTGGGACCCGGATCAGATGGAGCTTGTGCAGCTTGAGCTGAGCTCTATGGATAGTGTTAGAGCTGCCGCAAAGACCATCCTGACTAAGACCGACAAGCTCAGTATCTTAATTGCCAACGCTGGTGTCATGGCCGTCCCAGAGCTCACGACTACTGCCGATGGCTTTGAAGAGCAGTTTGCTACGAACCATTTGTCTCACTTCCTCCTATTTGAGCTCCTCAAACCTAGCCTTCTCAAAGCGTCAACTGAGAAATTCCAGTCTCGGGTCGTTGTCGTGTCAGCTACTGCTCATCGCATGCAAGGCATATCCGCTTCAAACGACTACAATTATGAGGCCAGTGGTGCCTCAGCTTATACGCCCTGGGAAGCATACGCCCGCTCCAAGACCGCCAATACCTACATGGCCAATGAGATTGAGCGTCGATATGGCTACAAGGGCATTCATGCGACTAGCGTTGCCCCAGGACTGGTTGCCTCCAATATTGGTCGTCATATTCCACAGGAAGTGATGGCAGGAGTTATTGGTGACAAATTGAATGAGATTCAGAGCCTTGAGCAAGCGGCTGCAAGTACTTTGGTCGCTGCTGTGGGTAGAGAATGGGAAGGAAGAGGGGGGGTTTACATCACCAACTGTAGTGCTGCGGAACGGGGCGAAGATGACGGTGTTTCAACTTCTTACACGTATGTTTCTCACACTTATAACCCCAAGGATGAGCAGAGACTTTGGGACGACTCTCTAAAGATGGTGGAGAAGTGGAACAACCATAGCACAGCAGACATTTGACATGGGTTTGCTAATCAGCTGTATACAAATCACCAGCCAGCTCTACAATTTTCCTGGCTTCAAATTACATCTCATTTACAACTTCGTTCATACCATATGGAAACTTTGCAGGATGAAATCACGTCCAGTTGTTTTTACGATTCGTCAGGTGTCCTTAGTTCATGTCAGTCCCCGTCATGTTCCAGCATTGCAATCGTTGCATCATCCAATAAATTGGAATAAGATTTCCATGAGATAGCCTCATATCCAGCGCCTTTGGGTAAAAGCAGAGGAAACATCATCGGCCTCCATATTTTGTGCCATGTGAAGACCCAATGCATCAAAAATCGGTGAAAGTAATGAAGGCAGTCAGTCAGTAAAAAGGTTCCAAAAATTCCTATACCGGGCGAACCAGCATAGAGATATAGTGGCTTTATGAAAGAATTTCAACCAGCAAAATTCCTCTCTCAGCTTATTGCTTCACAGAGCAGGAAAAGACCCATGCACTAGGATGTATGAGGAAGAAGAAAAAGAAAGTGGAAGAAGGGGGGGAAGGGCGAGACTTTATACTCGTTCTTGTCAGGCCAACACGACAGCCTTCAGGCAGTTATTCAAGCCAAGGAAAGTATATAAGCGTAGTTGAAGACCACAGGTTGGTTGGAACATTCCCATAGGTCAGATATCGACGTTTTTGCCTGCTGAGGTCAGTTGCCTAAAGTTTATTCCCTCAGCCTTCAGCTCATCCTATAGCATCCACTAGTTTACAATACTACCTAGGGATTGATGACTATTGGAAAGCTTATCGCTGGTAGGGCTGTGGATTTGTGTGCGGTGGCGCAATGTAGCCTCAAAAAAATGACACGAAACATATTTCTTTCAAGTGTATATAAAGGTTATGAAATGTATTTAGACTTGACATGAGACCAATCTCCATGCGCTCGCTATTGGCTCATTATTTGAAAGTGCTCTCGACCCAGGAGCGTTCCCTCTCAAGAAACGCTTTGAAGGTTGTCAAAGGGATTCCCCAGCCCTCAACTTCTCCTATATCGACCTTATCTCCCAAACCTCTCGACATCAACTGCACAGCGACAAAGATATCCTCATTTTTCTTCACTTCGATCTCGTCATCCGTCAGATAAATAGCTTTTAAGGGCTTCCCGCTTGCTTCGCCTAGCTGTTGCATGATCTCATCTGGCGAGAGTTTCTCACCTGCAATCTCGATGGTCTGCCTATTGAAGCGGTCTGGCCCACGGAAAGCCGCCACGGCAAACTTTGCAAGGTCATCGACATCCATGACTGGTAGCTGTTCCTGTGGGGTGTAGGCAGTTGACCATGCGTTGCTCGCTACGAGACCAGAGCACATGATATTGACTTTGGGCGCCAGGAAGTTACACATGAAAAAGCCCCCTCGGAGAATTGTCCACTTCTCGAATCCAGCGTCCTTGACGAGATTTTCTACTTCTTTCTTCCATCCATGGGCGCGTCCAACAGGGTGTTCTGGGTCATGGTATTTGTCTTTTTCCATGTCTTTGATGGCCATACCGCTGGAGTAGATCATATGTTTCACGCCAGCTGCCTTCGCTATGTCGATGATGCGTTTCGCTGCGGGTATCTCCGAAGTGAATGTTGTGATATTCGGTACCAGATTCATGAATACGTGTGTGCATCCGCTGAGGACCTCTCTGAGAACTGCTTCGTTGTCCCAGTCGCCAAGGCTAACTTCAGCACCTTGGTCTTGTAGTCTCTTAGCGGCTAGAGAGTCCATGTTACGAGCCGTAGCGCGTACGATCCAACCATGCTCAAGGAGTCGTCTTGCAACAGCGGATCCTTGGGAGCCGGTAGCACCGGTGACAAAAACGACGTTATGTGACATTGTGTAATCGTGAAAAATGACCTCTTCGGTTGGTGTTACTATGAAGTTATTCTAGTCGTTTGTTAATGAACTACTTTGAAGTTCAATAGGCCTAGTTATACGGGTTTATAAACTAGGTATGGTTCGTTGCTGTCCTATGTCAAAGTGCGGAGTTGCGGACTTTTGACGTCCTACTCCAATAGTCCTCAACCCTCGATACGTTCTATTCGTGCGAGGACCATGGTATCCATTATAGTCTGGACCTTGAAGGATTCAAATTTATCCGCTTTAGATAATCATGTACGTAAGAACCAATAGCATGAAGGGGCGGCCTAGGTGTTCTTCCGTGTCTGATTAATGCGAGGAGCAACTCCGCGAAGGTCTCGCTTTGATTTGTCACCAGAACTGCAGGTCCCGTGTGGTGTAGTCACTAAGCCAGACAAAGTCAGATATTATATTGTTTTCAACGCTGCTTTATTCATAAAATTGACATAAACTAAGTTCTATCTACATGTGTCTGGCTTTCTTCACTCGTGACAAATCTGGGGCTGTTCGTTACTTCACTTCTCTTCTCATTCGGCGGCTTTTCCGCGAATAGGTCTCATGATGTCATCAAGTGCTCACACTATTCTTGAGGTTTTTGTCCATATATGACGTATCTGTATTCGTGTTAGTTGTCTTCCCTGTGGTCAAGGTTAATCACTCACATGGGCCAATATGCGTGGATGGAGGGGTTCTTGAGATCTTTTCTAACATCAGTCAGGAAAACATCCAACTGAGGTTTCGACCAGCCTAGGACTCTAGTGAACAGAGCACTACTAATCCCATCGAGACCGCTAGAAATATTCTCGAGGGTCCAAGAACCTAAATCTCGTCAGATTGTATTCTATGAATGGCACCAGGAGGTATTCGTTTACCTAGCTCTTTATACTTTTGCTCCCTGGGCCAACGGTTTTGTGGCCATTTAAAAACGCGCTGTGTGACGTTCTGGAAGCCTGCAGCTTCCATCTGTGTCTTGTAGGTCATTGTTTCTCCGAAGGGTCGACCCATCTTTTCTGTAGCTTCAAGCAAGAGTTTTGACCACTGGTATAGAGCCGTTTCAGGAGCCATTGTACCATCATCGGAGGTTGGGGGAAGGATATCCACGACCTCCATCCAGCCACCCGGATTCAGATTCGTGAAACTTTGTCCGAAGAACCGTGGCCAGTTGGCGAGCGAGACCGTCATGAACCTGGTATAGATATAATCGAATGGCTCTGAGAATGTCCAGTCCTCTTCCACATCATCAATCTGAAACTCGACGTTAGGCGGCACGAATGCAGGCTGGATCGGGCTCAAGTCAATGCCTATGACAGTCGCTTCAGGATGATCATCAGCCAAGTCAATTGCCCAGCACCCTGTACCCGTGCCGATGTCCAAGACCCGTTTCACCGGTGTCTCTCCCTCTTGAAAAATGGGCGCGAGGTATAACTGGTTGTCAAAAGTAAGGAGACAAAGTGCATGCTGAAGATCCAGGCGGTCTTGTTCCGAGTTATCGTTTGGGCCAACGTAGATGCCATCTTTGTACGCATGGTATGATCTGCCATTTTCAATTCTGAACTTGTAAATGCTAGAGGCGACCGAAGCTGTGGAGCTCCCAGCATCATTTTCGCCGAGGGCTGAATCATTGTCCGCGATATTCCCCTCATCCGCTTCGAGTTCAGCGGGCTCCAGTGGTGCTGTCTGTTCGTGGGGTGAAGATTCCTTTGGTGACGATTCCTTTGGCGATGATTCCTTTGGGGAAGGGGATTTTGACGTTGGAGGTGACCCTGCCATGCTTGCAAACTTTATATGATAACTTGAGCAAAGTTCAGCCGGGGGTTGGACAGGGAAGCGTTTCGTTCCAAGCGGAGGTGAGATATTTTGACAGCTGGCATATGCGAAAAGGGAGGGCTAGCGTCAGGTCATGAGGGGAAACCCGGTTGGGAAGCCGTATGCACAACCCTGCAGTAGTTTGCAGTCACGAACTTTGAACCCAGCGAATCATCGACAGGGGGTGTGTAGTTCCCCGAGACATCCAATGCATCAGGTAGACTCTGGTAACTTGTTTTGACTACTACAACAGCTACTTATTTCATCATTGAACGCATTCTCCATGAGTATCCGCATCCTATAAGCATCTTCTTGTTACCCATGCCGTTTGCTTGCTGCTGGTTTGGGCTGATTGAGCTCTTCTTGCCAAGCTTCATGTACAGTATCTACCTCGAAGCTATTGGTTCGACCCAAAACTATTGACTTTTAGTCTTGTGAGGCACCTTATCGGTCGCGGGCCATTGGATAAGTCTTCAGCCACAAACCTTCGCTCTGCAGCAGCCAGGGACAGATTTTCGGATTTGTTCGCTTCTGTATTTTAGGCTCGGCCCGATATGGTATAATGGACATGGAAATGCGGATTGCCAGATCTCAATGGCATACGGCCAAGGACTTTAACCAGTGACTATATGTTGAATATATAAAAGGAATCATCAGCTCAAGATTTTAATGGTGACTCAAATACTACGCCCAGTATCGCCATGCCGACGTCTATATTCACAGAAGATTTGAACCTCTGAGACAAGACCAAAGACATTTCTTATCTCAGGCATCCAATACACTTCTCTCTGAACAACATGACGGTGAGAAAGAGCAGATGGCGATTGAACAAGAAAGGCTTAACCTGTGTCCTTTTGTATTGATCTATCCAGCTCATGAACTCATTGCTCTACTAAGAGGCATTGACTATGGTCCATCTAAAGTTGCAGTATTCCTTGACCTTAAATATATATCTTGCATCACAGAGTCCTATGCACCATTCACGGACTTCACCGCTAGCTATTGATAAATGGCCAAACAGTACTCTAGAGTATCACAGCTACTCGGAAAGCAACCAATACAGTGAATATAGTTTATAGTTTGAAGATTCTTATGGAACACAACGATGACTATAAAAGCCCTCCACAAATGCCTCCTTCAGCGTATAGCAAACCCTGGGAATTAAAAACAAACACAAATACAACCATTTCAACTCGAAACAGACTCAGTAGTATCCAAAGAAGCACCATGGCAGACTCCGGACCCATCAGCTGGATCAGAACAACTGACGTACATGAAAAAGTGATATTTTAGAAGTGCATGCAGTATCAAGGAGAAGCAAATTATTGTGGGAACTATAACAGTATAAAGCTCAAACAGTGCCCAAAGTGCCAGTCAAGGCGCGATGCTGGCGATGAAGCGGTCAATAAAATGGGGGCAATTATAGGAGTCCTTGAGTATGTTGAAAATAAGACCGGCGTAGAGCATTGGCGTTACGACTCGGAAAAAATCTAACTTCCTGGGTCTTCGATCTTCGGACAAATAAACAGATTTTAACAGACCACAAGGAAAGCTTAGCTTCCATTTATGACATTACAGCTCGTTGAGCTAATCTTGCAAGGCATACAAGCTGGAAGATGACACGCTTGCTTCTAATCGTAACTAAAATAACTATTGGTAATACTTGATAGAGTTGAAGAGCCAGTATGACTCTTTGAAGGCCTCAGGATGGTTGGTGACATAGTCATCACAGGTCTTAGATCCAGTAGATGCCTTGCACTCTTCGTTCCAAGTGCCTTGGTCAATGTTGTCTCCACAAAATGCTGTGTTGATAATCTGTTTCGCATTAGTACCTGATTGTTTGTGTCTATTGTTAGACTTACAATGGTCTGTCCCTTGAAGTATTTTCCAACGTTGCAACCAGAACCGCTGAGGAACTGGGAAGCAGGAGTGCCCCATTTGCTGGGATCGGGGTTTCCAGACTTGATATCGGCGGGGATGCTCTGGCGGTTGAACCAGTAGATCTTGAGAGCATCAGACTCAAGCCAGACAGCATAGACACCTCCTTTGCCCTTGTTGAAGGCTGATCCATATGAACCAGAGGCGTGAGTGCTGCCGCAACCGTCGCTGAGAACATAAGTTAGCTCATTTTCCTGTATTATACCACGATACACTGACTAGTTGGTGCCGTCCTCGCATTGCTCAGACTCAGTTCCCCCGTTGTTGCAGTTAGGGCGCTCGTCAAGACCGCCGATCTTGGTGAACTTGCAAGCACCGCATGTATGCAATGAGACAACGTTTTGGCTTTGGTCGTTGATGCCTTCGATGATGTCAATCTCCCCGACTGGGTCCTCGTCAAAGTTGTACGACCAGCTGCGACAAATGTTAGCTTATCACGACCGGTCAAAACATCCAATGATGCGGAGCTCACAAGGATGGCCAAACACCACAAGCCGTACCAGGCATGTGCTCAATGTCGGCAATCAGAAGCCCATTGCCATAAGTAGCCTTGGACTCCAGACGGACACTGTCTCTGCCATGTCTGGTCTTGCTCGAGCCAAGAAGTTTAGCCTTGTTCACAGAGTCAACGCCGACGTAAACTTGGCCGTTGGTTGTCTTGGCAAGACCAGCAGATTGAGCTTTGCTTTTGCTCAAATAGTTGACTGATCCGTGAGTGGGATCACCTCCGTAGGAAGGGTCAATGCTATCGTAGTAGGCAGCCTATCTTGTCAGAGTTGTGCGGTTGATTGTCAGCTCAATAACGTACATCTCTGAAGTAAAATTGATCAAAGAAGTTGGTGGCGTCGTAGGTTGTCTTGAGAGAGAACTTGCGCGTAGCCCGGGCACATGAGGCATGGGCAGAGGCCACCACCACCAATAGCGTGAACAAAGATGAATGCATGTTGAGTCTTGTGAAGAGAAAGAAGTGAAGTGCAGTTGGTGATGAATCAAGATCGTCGCTGGGATAGTTCAGCTTTACATACCAAATGCCGTAGCTGAAAGGATCACCGCACGGCCCGATCCTCAGCTCACCGTGGTTCGAATCTACCACCGCCATTCGCTGCTTCGCATCGGAAACTATGCTCGAGACAAGCGTATTCCCAAGCGCCATCCTTCGCTATGCACGTGCCTTGGTTATCACTAACAGCCCAGCGAGCAAGGATTATTAGTGCTTAGAACAACGGGGCTGA